CAAACCGATGTTAGGGTTGGTATTTGTACCCACATTTCATTGAATGCAACCATTCCTGCTTGCTATCTTGATAGTACCCCTTATGTGCTACTCCACTACAGCCTACACAATATTAGCATCATTACATTTGACACACCCCCATAGGCAAAGCGGGGGAGAACAGGAGGTCACAAGACCAGTAAATAATAAGCAAAGCAAGCTCAGGGTGGATCACGAAGTCACCACATATTCCAAGGGCAAGCAAATGGCCACAAGGCCAGTTCACATGCAGAGTATTCTCCCGGACATAACACCCTAGGGTGTTATGATAAATAGAGGAAAAAAGTGGGGGGGGTCTTCTCATCGAAAAAAGCTACATATTACCCGGGTCTATTCATATGACATTTTTTTATGTAAGGATTTTGATAAATGGAGGGCTTGGGTGTTTTCAAAGTTGGTTTACCATCACGCTCAGAGGCAAGAACACGGATTTAGGCAAGTGACATCTTGACCACCTTGAAGATTGTTACGATATGAAGTTTATTGAGAAGGCATTCATGTATCCTCCAGAAGCCGACTCTCCCAAGTACGAAGTCGAGGAGTCAGAAGAGTCGAAGCGACGCTGGTAACCGTCTGATCAAGACCGATGCAGGCAGAAACATTTGAACTGAGTAGAGCGGGAACAGGTTTGAAACGGGCTCCCGCGCCGCATGGTTTGAACTGTCGAGATTAGCTAGTAGGAACCATGGATGATTAGGTCAAGGGAGGGGTACAAGAACAACATCGAGAGGAATTCTTTACCCCCTAGTGCTAACACCCATATAGCCTACATAGTATATAAACATATATGTTTTGAAACATCCCTATAGGCGAAATGGGGGATAGCCAGAGAAAGCAATGGTCACAAGACCAATCAACAGAAATAACAAAGCAAAGCAAGCTCAGGGTGGATCATGAAGTCACCACACACTCTGAGCACAACCAAATGGCCACAAGGTAGTTCACATGTAGAGTTATATAATGGAGAACAAGAATTACAGTGATCAAAACCTAGCAAGTAGAAGCATGCATGTCAAGAAGGCTGAAGTGCCATGGTGAATATATCAGCAGTGTTGGCCCGAGAGGCCATGTAAGCAAGATGAAGCCGACCACGCTGCTGCAACTCTTGAGCAAGGAAGTAATGCAGAGCGATGTGTTTCAAACTGTGCTCCTATCTGTGCTCCTGACACAAGGCAGTTATGGCCTTGTAGTCGACGTACAGAACCGGAGGAGAACGAGGCGGCTCTCCCAAGTCGGTCAGCAGGTAGGTGAGCCAGCGTAACTCCTGTGCAGCCATGGCCCATGCGTAGATCTGAGCCTCACAACTGGAACTTAGAACAAAAGACGAGCAGGTAGGCTGCCAAGAAACAAAGCCGGAGCCAAGGCTGAAAGTGCAACCCTGTGACGACCGCTGCGTAGCCAAGTCGTCAACCCCAGAAGCGTCTGCGTGTCCAGTGAGGAGACCCCGTCCTCCAAGCACGAGGCCCATGCCCGACGTATTGCACAAGTAGTGCAACACCCTCTTAGCTGCCTTCCAGTGCTCTGGTTGGTGTCTCCCGGGCGCAACGTAGCGTGTTAGGAGGCTAAGAGGGTAGGCTAGGTCAGGTCGAGTGCAGGTCATCAGGTACACGAAGAAGCCCACAAGCTCTAGATACGGGCCACTCAAATCTACGGGACTCGTCTGAAGGTGGAGCTGAGAGCGAGTGACTGGTAGGCAGAGGAGTGGATTGTGGCGAGGAGTACTGGAAGTCGAAGCGCTGAAGGACCTACTGCACCATGTGTGATTCAGTCAAGGTAATGGTGCGCCATGCTCTGTCCCGGGTGATCTGCAAGCCAAGATAGTTGCGCAGTTCACCCGGGTCTGTGCACGTATGTCTCTTCTGCAGCTCCGACTTCACTAGGGCCAGTCCCTTAGTATCAGCAGTGGCAAATACCAAGTCGTCGACGTACACGAGGATGTAGAACGGCGGCAGCGAAGTGTCGGTGCGTAGAAATAGCGATGGGTCAGCAGTCGAAGGAGCAAACCCAAGAGCCGCAAGTGTCGTCCTTAGTGTGTCGTGCCATTTGCGAGGCGCCTAGCGGAGACCGTAGACTGGTCGCTGGAGGCTCCACTGGGTACATGCAAGAAACGACCCAGTAAAGCCAGGTGAGCGGCGCAGCCAGATCTCCTCGTGCAGGCTGCCCTGTAAGGAAGCTGTGCTGAATTCAAGAGAGTGAAGCTCGTAGTCACGCTAAGCGGCGACGTGCAACAGTACCCGAAGAGTGGTCATCCGAGTGGTAGGGGAGAAGGTCTGGAAGAAGTCAACTCCCTGTCGCTGACTAAGGCCTCATGCCACGTAACGAGCCTTGAAGGCAGGTGGAGAACACAGCGACCGCTTCACCGTGAAAATCCACATGCCATCGACTATGTTCGCCCCAGGAGGGGGAACCGCGTCGACGTAAGCGCCTGTGGAATCCCTGGATGCCATCTCTGCGTCCACGGCTGTCTGCCACTGAGAGAAGTAGGGACCCGTAATCGCCTCTGCGTAAGAGCACGGGGTCGGGATGTCTGGTGCATCTGAGTCTTCCTAAGGTGCAATTAGCATGGACACGAGATGAGGTGCAGCAGCTGTAAAGCACTCAAAGTCCTCCTGCCTGTCCTCAAGGACGTCCGTGCCAAGAGCACACTCACCCCAGATGGACGGAGGACAGACAGACCCAGACTCTGCAACTAGACTAGCGGCGTAGTCGAGACGACAGGGGACAACAAAATCAACAAGCTCAACAACTAAGGTAGACGCAGTAGTGGACTCAAACGAAGGGTCGGTGACATCAGCGTCCAGAAGACGTGTGACAGTAGGACTGGCAGCACGAACTAAGTCAGACCTTGGGTCTAGATCGTCATGAAGAGAGGACGTAAGAGGAGACCGTAGGGGAACTCGCAGTGGAACAGAGGAAGGACGAAGTGTCATACTGTGAGTGCAAGGGACAGGAGGAGAACGCGGACGCGGAACACGACTACTAGTGTGATCAGTGCGAACAAGCAAGGTAGGACAAGACACAGGCTCACGACGCTCTGTAAGACCTCCTGACAGCCCAGCGCAAGGAGCAGGAGCATGCAGTGGGCAGGCTGGCTGTGATTGCGGCTGTGACTGGTCAGACGGTGGACATAGTAAGGGAGGAGTAATGGCAGTAGAGGACGGTAGACCAAGAACCTGCTGAAGCAGTGGAACGAAGTACGGTCGCGGCCACACAGTGCCTCCAGATCCAGCACCAACAACACTAGCACCCCCAGCGCCAGCACCTCCAGCTCCGTTGTCTCCACCCCCAGGGTCTCCAGCTCCAGCACCTGCAGCACCACAAGCTCCAGCAGCTCCAGTACCTCCAGTACGAGCACCTCCGGGACGAGCGGCTCCAGTACCTCCAACAGCTCCAGCTCCAGCGCCTCCAACCCCAACTGCTGCAGCACCTCCAGCCCCAACAGCTCCAATACCTCCAGAACAAGCACCTCCGGGACCAGTGCCTCCAGCACCTCCGCTACCTCCAGTGCCTCCAGGACCAGCAGCTCTAGTGCCTCCAGCTCCAGGGCCTCCAGCGGCAGCCCCCTCGGCTCCAGCAGCGCCGCTCTGAAGTCTCTAGCGCCAAGCAAACCACTCGCACAGCTGCTATGGAGAGAGAGGCTCCCTCCGTGACAAGGAACATAGAGGAGCTCTAGTAGATAAAGTACCTCCAGGCTCAGGACGCTCAGGCTCAGCACCCCCAAGCTCAGCACCCCCGGGCCCCGCACGCTGAGGCTCAGCACCCCCCGACTCAGAAACCCCAGGCTCATCACCCTCAGGCTCCGCATGCTCAGTCGCAGAACCCCCAGGCCCCGCACCCTCCAGCTCAGCACCCCCAGACGCAGCACCCCTAGCATCACCCCGCCCAACAGCACCAGAGTCAAAAGCTACCTCGACAGGCTCGACAGGGTCTACCTGGGACACACATGAGGGAGCAGGACCCTGAGGGGGGAGGGGGTCTACCGGAGGAGGACCTGGTGCGAGAAAGAGCGGTGGGGGAGGGAGAGGGGCAGTGCGGTAGGGGAAGGGATGGTAAAAGGGAACCGACTCGTCAAACGTGACGTCCTGAGAGGACAGGACACGGCGAGAGGTGGGGTGGTAAAACTGCCAGCCAGGCGCGTTATGGGGAAAGCCAAGGAAGACGCAGGGAATGGCGCGGGAGGAGAGCTTGTCCGCGGAGGTATCGCGGACAAAGGCACGACATCCCCAGACCCGGAACACCGACGCATCGCCAACCTCTCTCGTCCAACGCAGTGTCGGCGAGGTCTCTCGCGAGGAGACACGGGGCCAGAGGTTGAGCTGATGCGCACCGTACCGGACCGCAAACGGCCACAGAAAATGGGGGGCAATTGCATGGATCATGGAGGTGCGAGCGACCTCCATGACTAAGCCAATGCGGCGCTCAGCTACCCCATTCCTGCTGCGGAAAGGCCGAAAGTGTGAATGTCTAGCGGATACCCTCTCCACGGCAGAAGTCCCACAAGAGGTCAGAGGCGAACTCACCACCTCTGTCAGAGTGCAGACGCAGGACCGATAGGTTCGTGTCAAATCGCTTGCGGAGCTGGAGACGGACAGCGCGGATCCAAGGGATCAAAACATCAAGGACCTCCCCCTTGCTGTGCAAGGGGAAGACCGTGGTGTAACGCGGGCAGTCGTCAACAACCAGCAGAAAGTAGAGCTCGCGGCCCTGTCCACGGACGCGGGCTGGGCCCCACACGTCCATGTGGAGAGTCTAAAGGGGAGCAGTCGTCGGGGGAAACGAGGAGGAGTGAGGAGCGGCGCACCGCCGCCCCTCGACACAGGGAAGGCAGGGAGGGGCAGGCGAGGGTGGGAGGGGAGGCAAAGACCTGGGAAGACCAGAGACAAGGAGACGGGAGTGCATGCCACGGAGGCGAGGCACTGAGGGGTGACCAAGGTGGTGGTGCCAAAGGAGAAGCAGCGGTACTAGGTGTGAAGCTTCCCGCATGTCTGACCAGTGCGGGCACCTGTGCGAATGACATACAGGCAGCGACCAGTACCCCCAAACGTCCCACACTGATCAAACCACTCACGAAGCTGCTGGGAGGAAGGGGTCTCACTGGGACGCTGCTTTTGCTGCTGCCGCGGGCCCCTGCTAGGTCCGCCCCTCTGTACAGCTCCACCCCGGCTGCCACCACTGCTCCTGCCACCACTCCCATTGCCGTCACCACTGCTCCCGCCACCACTTCTACTGCCGCCACCACTGCCGCCGCGGCCACCCCCACTGCCGCTACCACTGCCGCCACCAACGCCTCCACCCCCACCACCACTCCCACCGCCACTACCGCCAGCTCCACCGCCTCCACCGCCTCCACCACCGCCTCCACCGCTGCCACCCCCACCATCCTGACCTCCCTTGCCCCTGCCGCTGCGACGCCTCCCACTAGGAGCAGACACAGCTCCGACCTCCTCAGCACGAAGGAAGTCAGCAGTAGAAGTAGAAGCGACGGAGGGGACAAGGGGGGAGGGGGAACACCCCTAAAAAAATGGAGTGCGAGGAGTGCCACGAGAAGGAGGTGACATCGACTATGCTAGTCTCAGCTGCAAGGAGGTGCTTCTCGAGCAGGTCGAGAGTGAGGGCTGTGGGATCAAGGGCGAGAAGGAGGTCCCTGGCTGCGATAAAGTAGAGTGTGATGTATATGGGAGGAGGGTTCTTGGCTAGTAACTTGTCAGGAAGCGCGGCACGGTAGCGAGTGTCACTAGTGCGAAGGTGAGTAGGTTGGTGACTGTGGCAAAGGTGGATAGCTCGGGGAACAGGTAGGGCAATATGAGGCCGCCTAGAGCAGCAGTAGCCGGGGAGGAGTAGCAAGCAACTACAGTGTCGTACAGGGCTCTAGCAGTCTTGTGCTGGTGAAAGTGAGTGCGTTCGGCTAACGGCAGGTTGTTGCGAACGGCTAGGCGAGCAGCAGCGTCACAGGTAAGCCACTGCGAGCGAGTCGCACTGTCAGATGTGTCGGGAGGGGCGAGAGAGGCACCAGACGTGAGGTCAAACAGCGAGACACCGTCCCTAGAGTCGCCCAGTAAGTACAGCTGAAGGTCATCTAGCCACGCGTCGAACTGTATCGGACGGCCCTCTGCATCAAACGCGAGTACACTAAGAGTAGTCATCGCGGGCAAAGCAGTTGGGCGCGCTAGCAGCAGGGTAGTGCGCAAGCAGGGCAAAGCAGAGCGGCAGCCAGCAGGGCGGTGCGCAGGCAGATCAGGGCAGCGCGGCTGCAGGCGGCGCGCAGGCAGGGCAGGGCGGCGCGGCGGCTAGCGGCGCGCGGGCAGGGCAGGGCGGCGCGGCGGCGAGCGGCTCGCGAGCAGGGCAGGGTGGCTCGGCCAGCAGGGCAACAGCACGGGGCAAGGCAGGGCAGCCGCGTGTGCAGAGCAGCAGTGCGGAACAGGGCAAGTGCACGGGGCAGAGCTCATACGTGCAGGCAGGGCAGGGCAGCCGCGCTTGCTGGCACAACACGATGCAGGGAAATAGCAGCAGTGCAGCAGCAGTAGTAGCGTAGGCAGCAGTAGTCCTTAGGAAGGTCCCGCTCTATACAATGTCGAGATTAGCTAGTAGGAACCATGGTTGATTAGGTCGAGGGAGGGGTACAAGAACAACATCGAGAGGAATCCTGTATCCCCTAGTGCTAACACCCATATAGCCTTCATAGCATATAGACATATGTGTTTTGACATGAACTACGCTGCAAGACGGGAATGTACCCCTTAGAGTACATGGCTAGTCTATGTTTCCTATATAAACTCGATGTATACATGCTATTATCAATCTCAGTCATTTACATTCACTCTGACCTAAGTTCACTACTTTCGCTGCAACACTACACTGCGATCAACAAGTTTCACTTGAGACTGTAACAAAGATGGCATGTGGCACCTCTCTGGCCATTTGACAACCAAAGATTCGCCAGCGTGGCGACAACGAAATTGTGGGAAGTGGGGAAACTCGGCAGATATAATATAAAAGATCCGTCTAAATTCGTAGAGGGAGGGATTTTTGTCCTCCCGTACTTGCATCACTCGTTATCCGCTATAGTCATAAGAAATCTATATGAAAAGGCAGGTGTTATAGAAAATCACCCCAAAGAGGGTGTATAGTACAAATGGGGTCGGCTATAGCACCCACCCCGCGCAAGCTACCCGGGGGTGTACAATCCGCGGGGGGTGTTTTGTACGAGGAAGTACAGTATATAAATGAGAACAAAAAGTGTAGTGATCATAACCAAGCAAATGTAGGCATGCAGGTATATGAATATAAAATAACAGTACAAGCAAAGTCACCAAGTTAGCAAGTGAGGCAAAACAAGCACAAGGCCTAAAACAGTACTGCAAACGCTGATGATCACGAGGCTACAGTGCTGCCCGCGCATCCAGCAGGTGGTGGTGGCAGTCAAGCGGTCCATGCGCATGCTGAACCCTGCGAGGCAAGTGTCGGACCTGGGGGACCTGTAGTTCGGAAAGGCAGCATCGGCCTCAGCGTTTCCTGAAGCGACCCTCTCTACAATTGCCGTTCACCAGATCTGGGCGGAGCGATGTGATTGTGTGTTTCGGGGGAAACGATTCCGGGCCCGGCGGGTACTCAAGCGCATCGAGGCAGCCTTTCGGCTGCATGTGAAGGTGTACACGCGAGCAATGGGAAAGAAGACTGGCAGCGGCGGTGGTTCGAAGGGACAAAGGAGACCTCATGCGCTGGCGGAGCAGGAGGACGGTTTACTTGGCCGCATTCGCTGCATGATGGTGAAAGGTTGGAAGTGGACGCACAGTTTCGGCGCGCTTTGGAGCCTGGCAAGGGGAGCTCTGCATCCGCCTTAGAAGCCTCACGTGAGGCCACCATGTGGGTTCGGCCTCTCACGCTCAGTTACGACTGACATATATCGCTTATACACTTGCTCTTTCCGTGTATTTGGTTATATTCATAATGAAAAAATGAGGCTGAAGTGCCTTGGTGAATATGTCAACAGTGTTGGCCCGAGTGGCCACGTAAGCAAGATGAAGCTGACCACGCTGCTGCAAGTCTCGAGCAAGGTTGTAACGTAAAGCGATGTGCTTCGTCCTATGCTCCAGTCTGTGCTCCTAACACAAGGCAATCATGGCCTTGCTGTCTACCTGCAGAACTGGAGGAGAATGAGGCCGCTCTCCCAAGTCGGTCAAAAGGTAGGTGATCCAGCGTAACTCTTGTGAAGCCATGGCCCCTGCGTAGACCTCAGCCTCGCAACTGGAACTGAGAACAGAGCCGGAGCCAAGGCTGAAAGTGTAAGCCTGTGATGGCCGCTTCGTAGCCAAGTCGTCAACCCAAGACGCATCTGCGCGTCTAGTGAGGACAACTGGACCCCATCCTCCAAGCACGAGCCCTATGCCCAACGTACTGCACAAGTAGCGCAACACCCTCTTCGCGACCTCCTAGTGCTCTAGTCGGTGTCACCGGGTGCATCGTAGCGTCCCAGGATGCTAAGAGGGTAGGCAAGGTCAGGTCGAGTGCAGGTCATCAGGTACATGAGGCAGCCCACAAGCTCTGGATATGGGCCACTCGGCTCTACGGAGTCATCCGAAGGTGGAGCTGAGAGCGCGTGACCGGTAGGCAGAGGAGTGGACTGTGGCGAGGAGCACTGGAAGTTGAAGCGCTGAAGGACCTGCTGCACCATGTGTGACCGAGTCAAGGTAATGGTGCGTCATGCTCTGTCCCGGATGATATGCAAGCCAAGATATCTGCGCACCTCACCCAGGTCTGTGCACGTGTGTCTCTTCTGCAGCTCCGACTTCACTAGGGCCAGTCCCTTAGTATCAACAGTGGCAAAAATCAATTCCTCGACGTACACGAGGATGTAGAACGGCAGCAGCGAAGTGTCGGTGCGCAGAAACAGCGTCGGATCAGCAGTCGAAGGAGCAAACCCAAGAGCCGCAAGCGTCGTCCTCAGAGTGTGGTGCCACTCGCGAGGCACCTGGCAAAGACCGTAGACTGGCCGCCGGAGGCTCCACACGGTACATGCAGAAAACGACCCAGTGAAGCCAAGTGGGCGGCGCAGCCAGATCTCCTCGTGCAAGCTGCCCAGTAAGAAAGCTATGCTAATGTAAAGAGAGTGAAGCTCGTAGTCACGCTGAGCGGCAACGTGCAACAGCATCTGAAGAGTGGTCATCGCCGGGGTAGGGGAGAAGGTTTGGCAGAAGCCAACTCCTTGTCGCTGACTAAAGCCTCGTGCATCGTAATGAGCCTTGAAGACAGGCGGAGAACCCGGCGGCCGCTTCACCGTGAAAATCCACATGCCATCGACTATGTTCGCCCCAGGAGGGGGAAATGCGTCGACGTAAGTGCCGGTGGACTTCCAGGATGCCATCTCTGCATCCATGGGTGTCTGCCACTGAGAGGAGTAGGGACACGTAATCGCCTTTGCGTAAGAGCGCTAGGTCGGGATGTCTCGTGCATCCGGGTCTACCTCAGGTGTAAGCAACATGGACACGAGATGAGGTACAGACACTCAAATTCCTCCTGCCTGTCCTCAAGGACGTCCGTGCCAAGAGCACACTCACCCCCGATGGACGGAGGACAGACAGACTCAGACTCAGCAACAAGACTAGCAGCATAGTCGAGACGACACGCAGCAGCAAAGCCAACAAGCTCAGCAACTAAGCTAGACGCAGTTATGGATTCAAACGAAGGTTCAGTGACAGCAGTGGCTAGAAGACGTGTGATAGGAGGGCTCGCAGCACGAACCATGCTAGAATCAGCCCCTGGAACGTCAGGAAGAGAGGATGCCGGAGGAGACGGCAGGGGAACTCGCAGTAGAACAGAGGAAGGACGAAGTGTCATACTGTGAATGCCAGGGACATAAGGAGGATGCGGACGCGGAACACGACTACCGGTGCAACCAGTGCGAACAAGCGAGGCAGGGCGAGACGCAGGCTCACGACGCTCTGTAAGAGAGTCTGTCCGCTTAGTGTTAGGAGAAGGAGCAGGCAGTGGGGAGTCTGGCTGTAACTATGGCTGCGACTGGTCAGGCGGTGGACACAGTAGATGTAGAGTAAAGTCAGTAGAAGACGGGAGACTAAGAACCTGGCGAAGTAGTGGAATGAAGTACGATCGCCGCTGCACAGTGCCTCCAGCACCAGTACCGGCAGCTCTAGCACCCCCAGCACCCTAGAGGTCGGAGGAGAACTCACCACCTCTGTTAGAGTGCAGACGCAGGACAGGAAGGTCCAAGCGAAACCACTTACGGAGCTGGAGACGGATAGCGCGTATTCAAGGGATCAAGACATCAGGGACTTCCTCCTTGCTGCATAAGAGGAAGACCGTGGTGTAACGCGTGTAGTTGTCTACAACCAGCAGAAAGTAGCGCTCGCGGCCCTGTCCACTGACGCGGGCTGGGCCCCACACGTCCATGTGGAGAGTATGCAGGGGAGCAGTCATCGGGGGAAACGAGGAGGAGTGAGGAGCGGCGCGCTGCCGCCCCTCGACGCAAGGAAGGCAGGGCAGGAGGGGAGGTAGATGCCTGGGAGGACCAGAGACAAGGAGGTGGGAGTGCATGCCATGGAGGCGTGACAGGGAGGGCCAGAGGAGAGTCTTTGGTGCGAGAGTAGACGACACGAACTGGGGGCGGCTACGTGACCTGACGCGGATGCCTGACCAGATGCAGCCACCTGAGTAGGCTCAGTAAATTGAGTGTACAGGCTCGACCCAGGCCGACGGGTGAACGTGGCCAGGTGACGGCCCGTCCGTGCACATGTGCAGATCGACACACGCTGACCCCCAGAAATGGTGGTCGTTACCATCACCGGTAGGGCAGCGGTACTCACCAAGTTCGTAGAGAACAAGGGGAGGTGAAGACCTGAGAGGGAGCCAGACAGAACCACTGGACACGAGAGAATAGTGGAGGAACGTGCAAGAACTGGGCCCCCTGAGGGGGTAGCTAGAGAGACTGCAATAGGTGCAAGGATTGGTGTGACTGTGGTACTATCGCGAAAGAAGCAGCGGGAAGCACCTGAGTCAAGCGTGAAGGTGTGCAAGGCCTCAGCAAGTGCAGTACCAGAGAGAGCATACTCACTAGCACCTAGAGCATCAGCCTCTAGACCTGAGTCGGGCGGCACCCACAGGTAGCAGTCACCCTCAGCACAACCTCTAT